TCTAAAAATAAATTGCAAATGCGTAACTTGGATACGTAACTTTAATCTGATTATTGGATTGTAAATAGTAGCACGTTAGATTACTCGTTACAAGGGGCCAGATTTGAGTAACACGTTGATGACGCCATTGTTTGACATTTTTGCTCAAGCTATTTACGGATCGTTCAGGTTTCCGATATGTGTTCCCATCCCCACTGATAAACTTGTTCCTACGCCCTTGATGAAGAGAGTCGGGTCGTGGCTGATGTTGAAGGAACTTCTCCAGCATCCGTTTCCTTCAGTTGTTTTGGTGGAAATGTTTGTGCAGAAGGATTCACACTGAGTGTCAGACTGTCTCATTTCTGCCAAAGAAGCATTATCATCTCTACTGCAATAAGCTTCAAATAATGTTTCAGTGAAGCTTTTATCACTTTGTAATGTTAGCATTCCTAATCAAAATCCTTAAATGTGTTCTGAAACTGAGGACATGAAGACTTTCAGGTGTTTCTTAATCCTGTTCCTTCTGTATTTCTGCAGAATCTGGTTGTTCTCTAACCACTCCTGCATTTCATATCGCAGCCTTTATGTAAATAAAAAAGGTGGCACTCGGCCTTTTTGTGGGTTAGGGAAAAATGTGAAGTTGAGGTACTAACTTACATAACTTGATAAATCAATGTTTATATATGAAATTGTACCTAAAATCATTTAAATTAGAGATGCACTGATCCAATATTATTGGTATAGGCCAAATATTGAAAAAAAAATTCTAGATTAGGCTTTGGTGACAGATCTATTCAGCATAATTCTATGCTTTGTGGTCTGAACAATATCATGCTTTATTATTTTACATTATATTCTTTAACTTTCTGAACTATTTGAAAGATGGTTTGTTGAAATTTATTTTTATATGTTTGACCAAGGTACCGTAGACAGTCTATTGTTAGGTTTTTTATTTATTTTACTTCAGCCCCTGAATTCAGCTCTGTTTTCTATCAGCATCAGCCAGTACTAAAGCTCTGAAGCATCCAAAATGAAAAGAGGACTGGTGCATCACTAATTTAAATCTGTCGGTTCATTAGATACGCACCAAAAATAATTAAATGGTGAAAATAATTAAAATGCGTGTTACATGTTAACTTCAAATAATTATTTTACATTTCCACTGCTATAGTTGTTCATAAATCTATCTCAGCGGTCACAATAGCTGTCCAAATGACAATTGGTAAATCAGTAGATTTACCAACTACTGATTGGTTAATCTGAACAGTGATAAAACTGCAGAACAAACATTTTGTCTATTGTACCATCCTCTAAAAATTGTATTTGTTGGAAAATATATATTTTTTCTATTTTTTTTATTATTTTTAGGAACAACTACTGATGGTTACAACCTGTGCAACTAGTTTTTCTACCCACTTTTCCCAGATTGGCATCATCTGATGCAGAAGTGTCTTTGTTTTTGAACTCATAATGGTAAATATTGGGCTATTTTTATGTTGGCTAACCATGGCTGAATTTGGACCTCCACCTCAAATATGAAAACAAACCCAGAACAAAATGAAAACATCCTGATGTAGAGAGCAGGAGTATGTGCTGCTCCCCCTCCAGAGACCCTTCATTACTTAAGAGGACATTTGTAGTTGTGGAAACACTCCTGAATGGTTTCTTTCTCTCTGTCTCTTTATATAACCTCAAAGAGTGAATCATCGAAGAGTTTGTCTCCGTGGTGAAATGTGTCTCTAAGTTAATAAATTCACTTAGATTTTGTCTGTCTCCTCAAGGCCAGAAGACACTGCTCTGAAGGTGTGAAAAGGTTGTGAATCATCAGGCTGAAGGTGCTCGTCTATTCCTTGCATGCAGATGAAAATATACCAAGTCCATTTGGTCCAAACACTCAGTAACTGCAAATTAAAAGACTGAACCCTGCTGAGAACATAAAACATCCATACTGTAATTCAAAAGCAGCACATTGGTGAGTTAAACTAAGAAGACACTGCCTGTTGGGACCTGCAGTAATAGCTTCAAAGGAGACTTGCATAAAGAGGTCAAAGTCAATTACATGCATTGCAGCTCAATCCTGAAACAAGTCAAGCAAGTTCAGCTTATAATACCAATTGGTAAAAAAAAAAAAATCTTTTTAGGAATAAAGCATGGTCCATTGTGTTATTTTCTTTGCAGCAAACCCTTATAATGAGTAAGTAAGCAACAACAGTGGAAAAGAAAACCCTTTTAACAGGAAAAATGTCCAGCACAATGAAGCTTGTTTTAATGGAATACAGTAAGGAGAAAAGTGCTGCTTCTCCAAGGTACATCATTTCTCTCACAGCCACAAGGACACAATGACTGCATTGTTATTCTGGTCAGAAATCAGCAAATTCTTTATTTTCAGTTGCATTCTTATCTTCTTCAGAGTAGACAGTGTATGAACCTGAGTCCTAGGGCTGTAATGCAAAGCGGTGCTCGTTAATGGTCTCCTACTGTTTAATAAGCCCTAGTCTGAAAACATCATGAACACCTTCAGTGTGGTTCCATCCCCATAAGCGTCCAACATAGGCCCCTTTTCCACCGGCTCTACTTAAACAACCCGGCTCGGCCCGGCCCGGCTCGGCTCGGCTCAGCTCTATTTCGGAGTGACCGCGTTTCCACCGGCCCAACTTGGCTCTGTAGCAGGGTGCCGCCTCTACACTGGTGTAGCGCCCCCCGCCACCAGTGTTTACCTTCAGGATGTCTGGAGCAGGGATCACATGAGCTCAATATGCTGATGAAACATTTCTGATTTAAAAAAAAAATGTGGCTGATGTTCTTACAGAGTTGAAGTGCATTAACAATCTGTAGTTTTTAATTTCTCAATACGTTTAATTATGATTCACCTGATGTCCAAGTTATACTGAGAACAAATAAAGCTTTATTCCTTCTAATTTGACTGGTTCTAGTTTTAATCAAACCTTCCATATTTTCACATTTTGGTCACTAAGAATTAAAAGTTTAAACTCAGTCTTATTTATCACTAATTAAGGTTAGAGGTTTCAGACACATTTTCTCACTTTCTTACATTGAAGATTCTCCAGGAAGACAGATAAACAGTGAGTGGATAGAATGATGTACAAACTGGAAACTAACAAACATGATTTGTATTTTGGGTTCTTGTTAATAGCAACTAACTGAAAACGAAATATAAATCACCGTACAATATGACAAAATACTGCATGCTTTACTTTTAATAGCCACCCATTCCTTACTGCAGGGATCAGACCAGGAGTTGTGATGTTTGCAATGGTTTTGCACTGCAATGGGAGGGCCTTTGTGGCACATCAGGACTATACAGAGTCAGTTGTATATGTACTACTCACAAATATTTGGACATCAGTGTGGGCAGTACAGTAATTGTATGGACTCAAATTGTAAATTACATCTTATATCCGTCTTAAAAACTAAAGAATACCTGTGCAGTGTCAGTGTGTGGTGTAGAGTTAAAAAGTGTTGAAGAAGATTTTAGGTTATAATATATTTTTGGAAAATCTCTGGCTGTATCTTCTTCTCACGGATCCCAGGTTCTCCCGGCGGGCCGAAGTGAAACCACACAGAAAACAAAAATGAGTGTAGACGTTTTTCAGAGATTATCTGTCTCATGTTAGGACAGCGAAAGTTTTAATAAGTATGTAAAATTTATTTATTTATTTTTTAAGTTAGATGCTGCAGGTTTAAGCAGAGGTTCGGTGTGAGAGTCACTACCAGGTGGAGCAGAAGCGGCGCTCCGTCTGTCAGATATTACTACCTGTAGTGTAGCAGCGGTTCAACAGCGAGAGCAGAACCTGCGTCTTACATCGCAGCTCGAAGACTTAAATAATTTTCCGGGTTATTTGTTTAGCTTTCTGACCGTCATGCTAATCCGGGCGAGTGTTTGTAGCTGTGCGCTGCTTTACCTGCTATCTGATCCTCCATATGTCTTTTTTTACTGCAGTGAGCCTCGATGTAGCCAAACACCGTCAAGTATGGCATTGTTTTTATGCCATATTAGATTCGTCGTGTTGATGCATTTTGACCTGCTTCAATTTTCCGCCGCAACACGCAAACTTCCCCATTCACTCAGTGCGTTATAGTTACACATTGCTTAGGATTTGTTGCTGCGCGTTTGCGCAGTGAGAAGGAAAGAGGAGACCAGCTGCACAGGGAGGCTGCGAAATGAGATGCAGGTGATCGGTTTGTGTGATCGTTAACAAGAAACCGTGATCGTCGATCACCGATCATACACTTTTTCACGGAAATCGGCCGATTATGATCGGTCGCCGATCATAATTGTAAATAACTAAATATCTTTAGTTATTTACTAAAGTTGATCTATAGCAAATGAATTGTGCTGTGGAGTTAAGAGGAACTGTTTCCTTCTTCTTCGTTGTTTTTTTAGGAGTGCCTGAGATGGGTTCTGTTTGGTTAAAATAAAAGCTGAATAAACATTGTGACAGTTACGCTATTCCCTCTCAGTGTTCTGCTCTTTCTTCACCCACGGCCTCCTATTTTATGGTTGCACGTTGTTACGGACTGACCGGTAAGGCACAAGGACAAAGACATATATATAAAAAAATTTCTATTTATTTTTCAAAAAAATCTTAAAAGGTTTTCAACAACAAATCTAAAAAATATAGCAAAATGGGCCCAAAAGAAATCAACTAAGGCATACGTAAGTCAGGATAACAAACCAACAGGCACGTGCAGAGGGGTGTCTGGGGGTGCTTGAGCACCTGCCCCTTTTGCTCCTTGCCCCCAAGTGCCCTTTTGGTCATTTTTTTTTCTTTTTTTGTGTTATTATTTCCTTAGCCCTCTTATGACACATAATAACATTTACTAAAATTATTTGTTTTTTGTCGCCACCAGGTTTGTCCCAACCTGATGGAGAGAGAAGACAGAAAAAACAGGCCATTAGTGATGAACTTATATAAACAGCAAACAATTTGAGCATGATTCAGAGATGAATGTTGACTTACAGGCTGGATATCAATGAAACCTTCTGAACTTCCAGGTTGATGGATCTGAAACTCTTCTCCCAAGTGTGTAAGGTGGAAACCGGGAGGAGAACTGGCAGCAGCGTCAGGGCTACATTATCTTGTCAGTCTGGCAAACATAAGCTTGTGTTAAAATGTTACATGTGAAAAACAGTTTAGAAAATATCTCTTGAGCTTCAGTACCTTAAGGGAGAAAGTTCATGTTGTTGAGAAGATGGCCGCTCCTTTCTCTTCTTGGCCATACAAAAGATCTTCTTTGAGAACAAGAGAGAGAAGCACAAAAACAGGCCTTTAGTGAATTTAAAGGTAAAGGGCTACATTCTCAAAAACTAATTTCTGACTGATTCTAGTTTAACACAAAACCTCACTATTGAATGTGATGCACTTAAACAATTTGAGCATGATTCAGAGATGAATGTTGACTTACAGGCTGGATATCAATGAAAACATCTGAACTTCCAGGTTGATGGGTCTGAAACTCTTCTTCCAAATTAGTAAGGTGGAGCAGGGAGGAGTACTGGCAGCAGCTGCAGGACTACATCATCATCAAACATAAGTTAGTGTTAAAATGGTAAATTAACTAGAAAGCATGACAACATTTTAGAGAACATTTCTTCTGAGCTTCAATACCTTGAGGGAGCAGACTCATGTTCTTGGTCATGCAGAAGGTCTTCGTTGAGAACGAGGAGTTTGGGTTTTGCTCAATTCTCCTGAAGATCCTGGATGTAAAATTACAAAATCTATCAGAAATGGAGGAACCTCCACACACGTATTTATCCAACATTGTAGTGTTGCAATATCTTTCAACCTGATTGATGTTATGCTACAATCTGCCGCTGAAAATCTTCAAAAACAATTTCAGATGCATTTATTTCTCCCAAAGTTAGCATGTTCTTTTTTTGATTTTGTTTTAAAGGATTTTATGTAAAAATTGCAGAAGACTTAAGTGGTCAAGGGGAAAGTTTCATAACCAGAAACAGGTCCAACTGCACTACTACACACAAATATTTGACCCCATCACATTTAACATCACATTTTTAAAGGTTCACATTTTGAAAAACATTTTCCAGAAAGGCAGTGTATGAATGGGTAATTAATCTAGTCAATATAACGTTTTCTTATATATCCATTTTCTGTACACCCTTGTCTGTAGTGGGGTCAGGAGAGATGCTGGTGCCGATCTCCACTGAATGTTTCGGGTGAGAGGAGGGGTCACCCTGAACAGGTCACCAGTCTGTCGCAGGGCAATTCAGAGACAGACAGGACAAACAACCACGCACACACACACACACACACACACACACACACACACACACACACACACACACACACACACACACACACACTAAACCAATTAACCTAACAGTCATGCTTTTGGACTGTGGGAGGAAGTACCCACGCATGAACAGGGAGAACATGCAAACTCCATGGAGAAAGACCCAGGGCCTGGAATCGGACCCAGGACCTTCTTGCTTCAAGGCAACAGTGCTACCAACACTGTGCAGCCTATGAAGTTTTTTTGTTTTGAAACATAAAGTTTTTTAAAGAAATTTAAACTTAAAAAACTCTGAAGATAAAGTAAATGAATGAAATACAATAAAATCTAAATTATAACTGCAAACCTATTAGGGGCTAATCATCTTATGAAAATGTCAAATTGAACATTTCTTATGAAAAATTATTTCAGATTTGAACTAATGGAAGTTCTTTTCAGCAACTTTAAATTTGATCATCTCGGTCTTGTCAAATGGTTTCTTTGCTGGTTGCACTCTAAGGCTGTTTACAATTATGAAATGGAAACATGAAGGTATGAAGTGATATTTGAATACAAATTGACAAACTGAGTCTTTCTATTTTAACTTTGGAAAGTACTGATTATTGTAACTTTAATGAAAAAATCATAATTTAGGTGATTTATATGTGCATTTAACAAATTATTAATTTGTGTACTACTTCCAGAAAATGTCTGTGTGTTGAATGACAAAATGTCACTTTAATCAACAACATGCTTCCATCTCCACATTCTGCTCCCTGTTACTTTGTCATAACTATCTCTGATATTTTTATGATCGAGCCTCTTCACACTGATAAAAAGCATCATTTTGTGGCAGCGGGACACGATGAGGGGTTGAGAGCATGTGACATTTAAACAAATTGCTCTGTTTGTTGCTTACAGGCTGAGACTGTGAAGTTAAATATAGCTTTGTAGTCTAGAATTTGCACATCATTGCTGATGATCCGTTTAAAGGTCAAACCAACAGGGGATTCTTCTGTTGTAGGTTAGAAAAGTTCATCTGAATGCCTCTTTTATTTGTGCCAGAAACTTTAAAAGTTGCTTCACCTCAGGCGATGCTTTTTAGGGTGGATTTTCTTTCATGCACAACTTTTACTTTTACCCAAAGTTAAAAGGTTGGGTGGATGAATGTGGAAGTAAAGCTGTGTTTTTGTTCCTCACATAAAAAACAAATCCCATGTTTTGTTCCTGTTCAAACTCACCTGAATCAAATGAAAGTCTTGTTACCAAGGTGTCTGCAGAGCTTGGTGAGGTCCAGTTTAGTTTTTATCCTTCATCCATTATTATTCATATACTCCATAACTACAAAATTTTCAAAATGTTGCATTGGTTGATGCGTTTATTAACCAAATATTGGGAGATTTTATGAGTTTGCATGTATTGGATATGAAAAAATATATACTATGTTTCCATATTTGGGTAGCCAGTCATTGATTAGAGTCAATCAAGGAAAACCTTGTCGATTTGGATAGCGAGCTGATTGATTTATGCTTTTTTGCATTTTGTTCTATTAAAGGAAGTGTATATAGTCACTTTCCCCTTTGTTGATTCCCTAAACAAAGGGAAGAAACATTGTTGATGAGATTGTTTTATTACACAAGAAAAAAGGCATTCTGACAATGTTTCAGATTGTTTTTCATGGCTGTACATGAAAAAGGTCCTTTTCATATCAGAGATCCAGTCATGTAATTTAAAAAAACAAATCTCTCCTGATGGTTAAGACAGCACTGAAAATGACAAAGCTGTTACAAAACAACAATCTAAGTTCACTTGATTTTGAGCAGTTGTTTCTCTGTTCTTAGAAGAAGCTCGGTCTTCTGTTTGGTGTCACACGATGTCTGGGTCCCACCAAAGGTCACCATGTGCTCTTCTACCCTTAATTCTCACAGTACTTGAGAGGATGCAAGCTGTGAGACAAGTGATACAAAGAAAATCAGAGCAGATAAAGGAAACAGGCAGTTCTCCGGAGCCATGGCAACAGCAGGCCGGTACAATGGGTGGCTCTGAGACAGAAGCAGAGATCAGGGATGAATGAGAGAGGAGGTGGAGATGGAAATAAAGACCAGGGGAGGTTGGATTTGCAGCTTGTTTGTTGCACATCTTTACCTCGTTATGGCTTCTTCTTCTCTCCTCCTCTGCACCTCCAAAGTTCTTCAACTCTGTCAGCCTCAAAAGTGATGGCAGAGCACCACTGTAGCTCTACAACAGTAGCTGTGTTTCAATTACAAATGTGCAAAACCGTCAATATTCTGCTAATGTTGAAAAAACACAATTTTGCAGTTGTGTTGTTTCCATTAAATAAGAAACACAATTGAAATCACTCGTGAGTAAGTTTGTTCACACGATAAGTTATTAAAAACATGTTGCTCCATGATCCTCCAATTACTTCCTGTTGTTCTTCGTGGTTAGCACTAGTGTAGCAACATCCAGTGGTTGATTGTGACTTATTTTCCACTAAGGTTTGTGACATAAAACAATTTCAATATGGCCAAAAAACCACTTCATCCTAACGGCAAAACTTTTTATTAATTTATTTAGTTTTGTTTTTGTTTTGTTTTTTCAAAATTGGTGTATTTCCCTAAAGCAAATTTATTTTCCAAATGTCAAATTTCAGAAATATATGATCAATGGAAGCACGGCTACTGGTACAAACTTGTTTGTGTCCTCCTGCACTGATACTTTAACTCTGCAAACTAAGTAAGTGCACTCCTGAGTTCATTTGTAGTTCCTCTTACTGGCTGATATGATGCTCCCAGTAGGGATCCAGGCTCAGACTGCAGTGCTGCGGCCCAGCAAAGGGAAGGCGGTTGGCATACTGCAGCTAGGCTCCAGACTTCTCAGTCTATGAACCCCCTGAATATCTTGAAACCCTCCCTGAAATCCCCTCATTCTTCCCTGAAGTCCCTGTATTTCACTTTGCATACTCTCATAATGAGTCCTAGGCTCCCTGCGCGGCATGGTCGCCATGGCGACGGCGGTGGCTGCCTGCAACGAGCGCGCCCCCGGTGGGGTCAGGCTGTTGTGGTTCAGGGTCATGTTGGACAGGAGATGACCCAACGAGTCCCAACGCTGGGATGAAGGCAGGCGGATCAGCGAGGAGTAACCCCTGTCAGGGAACACGGTGGCCAGAGGGAGCTTGCTGGTCTCAGATGTGACGACTGGAGGCAGGTTGGGGTTTTCCCTGGAAGTCAACGGCGCTCTCCGGAGTGGGCCGGGCTTCAGGTATGTCCCCCCTCGAGGGTCAGCCAAGACCTCGCTGTAGGGTGGAGGGGGGTCCTCCATCAGGACCGCTTCCTCATAGCAAGGCGGCTTCCCAAATACATCTGTGTCTGGAAGAGAGAAAAGTCTAGCTTAGAGACGGATCAGGCATAAAATTTCTCAATACGGTTGCTACTGACAATTATTTTAGTAATCGATTACACTGAAGATTAATCAAATATAAAAATTTGGCACATTCTGAAATTTTATCATTTAACCACTTAAACTTATTTTGTTTAAGTGGTTAACTTAAACAAATTAACTTAGTTGTATCTTTTAATGTTTTTCTATAAAAACATTAAAAGATACAACTAAGTTAATTCAGATCTGACTGAAATGCAATAACATTTTTTTATTGAACGCTTTATAATTTGCAGCAAAGGATCCATCTACAAATAAAAAATACCTCTAACATTAATGTGTGAAAAGCGCAGCTCTTTCTGCTTGATTCAACATCAACAGTGTAGAGCTGATCTGGTGATTTCTTTAACAATTGGGTAGCAAAAAGTGCTTAAGAGATAAGAGATATATTTTTTTTTTACCAAATTATCAGTAAAAAAAAATCCCCTGATAATTCAGTTTGTTTGTTTTTTACTGAATTATTATTTTACTGAATTATTTGGATAAGTCAGTAAAAATTATCTACTGAAGTAGATAAATATGTGAAAATAAATATGTCCTACCAGTTGCAATTTTCTGGCCTATCATCAATATTTAAAAAGCACCGATTTGTTTCTGTTTTAAATATAGCAGAAAAGTTGCCAAGTTGGCAACAGTAGGCTGAGTATTGTGAAACGTAGCCCTCTCTCAAACCCTTGAGATTGAAGAAAACATCAGTGGATAAGTTTGGGTTCACATGTAAGTATTGACCAATCATCAATGACCCAAAATTAAAGAAATGGGGCTGATCAATGTGGACACCCCTAAAAATCTCCCCCATCTCCCCCTCCAAGGCCAAGTCCCTAGAGGAAACTGAAGAGCACATGGATCACTCTTCTGAAGTGTTTGTGATATTTGGTCAGGTTTAATGAATTGTTGCTTTTGATTAAGAATTGCTGAATGGTTGAGAGGAAAGCACAGAACCTAATGATGTTTGTTTATACATGATGAATACTTTGTGTTGTACCAAACGTAAAAAAAAAAAAAAAAAAAAAGTTCTGCTGGACCAAATTCAGAGGACTGCAAATGGTGCCCCAAGATTGCTATTTGGAGATCCATTTGCCATATTGCAAGACATTTTTAATATATTTTTTTTCTGCTTTAAATTTTCCAAACGACACTTCATGATTGCAAAGTGAAATGAGTTTGCCTGAAGTGGTAGAAAATGAAGATTGCGAGCAGAGAGAACATGAGGCTGCAGCGACATCTGTGTGCAAACATGCTGCGTTTTTGGGACAGTGATCATAAACCTGTTGCCTGCTGGGTTACACATGACAACATGTTCATCTGCAGGAACACAAACAATTGTTGCTCTGATCTCAAGCTCTTTCTGCGTCTTTCCTAAGCCTCCAGATTTGTTCTTCTCAGAGAACCTGCAGCACATCGACAACAAACTGCTCATTTGTTTCCATTTGTCTCATCACTCTACAGCTCTCCATATTCCTTTGGTCTAACTGTTTTTTTAGCAGTTTGTCGTCCAGTATTTTCTACAGTGCACACTCAGATATTCCCACGGCGGGAGCAAAATGCCAAACAAGCCCATACCCCCAGTGCCCGGCTCGGTGTTGTTGATGGCTGAGATCTCCACTTACTGCTCATGAGTGACTAATACTGTTTATTATATACAATGGAGTGTAGTGAATGAGTGACGGAGGCTGTGATTTCACATGTGGGGGTTTTTTTTTCCGGTGCTCTGACAAGATCAAGAAAACAGTTTTCACTGTTTCTTTTTATTTATTGCAGAGCTCTGTCTGAGTTTTTGTGTCATTGTTTTCACAGATTTTTTTATACTGTCCATGCCATTGGGACATGACTCGTTGTAAACTGGTCTTAATTTATTTTTGTTTGCTTGAGCCAAGTTGGATCTTTTCTTCCTGCTTCCACATGTAAATCCTGGCAAGGAGTGACAATGTACAACATGGAATTTATAAACTGTCAGGTGTTTAACAAATTCTGCTGTGCCACACTCATCAGCACACCTGCTGGTAAGTCTTTGTACAGGCCCAGTAGGACAGCACTTAGTCTGGTCCTGGATCATTTCACATGGTGAGAGCATAAGAGAGGAAATCCTTGGCTAGTTCACTTCTCACAATGTTTCTAACTGTAGAGTCCTGGTCCTTTCTTATGTGCTATTCTTTTCAGCTCAGCTCAAGGGCTTTCTGCAGGATCTTATTGTGTGGACTGAGACGGACATAGAAGAAGGTTGATTATTGTGCCTGAGCTGTGGTTGAAGCTTCAGTGATGTCATTTGCAAAGGCGGCTTCAACTGTGCACCAACACTGCCTAAAATTTAAATGAAGGTCTGAAACCCATGCAATATTATTTTTCCTTTATTTTAATTAGCCATATGTCAGTTAAGTTTGGAGAATAAAATTATGCTGCAACTCATCATCCATCTGGATGTTGTAATGGTTGACTTCAACAAACCCATTTAAAGGGGCGGTATTACATATTTCTCCAGGCACATGGTGCCATTTTACAGCACAATAAAGTAACTGTTAGCTTATAAAAATGATGTCCATGTTAATTTTGACTTAAAAGAAATTTGAGTTAATAATTTAACACCTTGAATTTGGGCTCTCCTATAAAGAGCTACGTCTCATGAAAGAAGTAGCTATAAACACATACTAATTAGCAAACACAGTTAGCTTGTGTTTGCTAATTGCTGCTGGCTAGTCTAAATAAGCCGAGTGGGGTTTTGAGGCAAACAACAATTTAGTCTCAATAGGCCACGTCAGTCTGAATTTTCAACTTTAAGGGAGATATTCTATTCAATGAGTCTGATTTTTGTGAAATTTTTGGAAATCAAACATGAGGATAAATTGCAGCAACTTCAATTCACATGATTTCTCTCAGGACCTGTACACCCAGGCATAACTGTTGGAAACTAACAGCTGTTTGCGGAACAGTTGCCATGGAGCTGGGTGTATTTATAGATGCAAATGTGTTTTGTGTGTATTTGTGTACCTGGCTGCAGTCCATCACCTCCCCCGTCAGGGCTGACAGACACCTACAGGAACCCAGCCTCATTGTTTCTCATGTCGAACGTGCCACGGCGAACAATACGAGCAGCTGCCACGGAGGCTTGAAATAAACATTAGCATGGAGACATCAGCAGCACCGACGTCAAGGTGGACGTTTGTGTCCACAGGGACAATCACAGATTTACTCTGATGGACAGATGATGGAAATCTCTAGGAGCTACTGTTAATAACTCAACCTCGCCTTATTGTTTGTGGCTCTGTGAAGTAGAGCTGCAACTAATGATTGTTTTAGTAATTGATTATTCTCATGGCTAATTAATTAAACAGACAAAAAAAATTAGCACATTCTGCAAATTTTTCATTTAGCCAATTAAGCCTTTTTTATACACTGTAAGAAATACATTAAATAATTGTTTTTCACATAAGAAAATATTTTATTGCCTGAAATCCTATAATGTAGCATTCCTGTAGTGTATACTTAATCATTTGTAGCAAAAGATGCATCTCCGGATAAAAATATCATTCCATTATGTGAAAAGCTCAGCTCTACTTGATTTAACAGGTGGGCTGACCTGCTGATTATTTTTTGGATTAGCAAACTAAGAATTGGATAACAAAAGGTGCTTAATAGATTTTTTAAATATATTTTGAGCCTAGTGAAGCTAAAACTGCCACTTGAGTTCTTTTTTAGAACATATTTACAGATTATTTATATCTTTACCATAAAATCACATGTATCAATATTTTTTTTAACAGTTTTGGTTGAATTACTGCTCTTATTGTTCTTTCATCAAATGACCTTGGTGAGTGTATACTACAGTAAACAATTAATTGATAATGGCATTGAAGATGACATCATATACCAATTCAACAAACCCGCTGTCATCTGGACAAAGCAGCCAGCACTGAGGATCAAGCCCTTTGATTTCTCCAGAACATTTAACATAATTCATCCTGATTTACGTTGGATCAACCCGAATCAACAGACCAAAGCATTGGGGGTTAACCAGGTGGTCAGGAGCCCCACAGGGTGTTGTTCTTGCCTCATTTCTTTTCACTCTGTACTCCTCAGACTTCAAGTAAAACAGATTGCTTTCATCTGCAGAAATACTCAGTGGACACAGAGGATTCGTTACAAAATCAAGAAAATTACGAACGACCCTGACCATTCTAGTGTCATTTACAACGGAGGTTATTCAGTTAGAGGCTTTTTCAGATCCGCTGTAATACAGACTGCTACAAGAGAGCCTTCCTGCCCACAACCATGAGCATCTATGAAGAAGAACCTTGGACAGTTTGAGTTGCACTTAAATCCCCTTTGGGATTAATAAGTGTTTTTCTAATTTGATTTGAAAAGGCTGAAATTACCATAGCAACCAATGTTTTAGCCACACTCTTCCATTACTAAGAAGCTTCTTCTTTCTTATATTCTTCCAACATGAATTAACTTCCACAATAAGGCAGCAGGAAGTTGGTTTACTCACTGTTTTCAGGCAGCAGCTGCACCCTCTTAAATTTAGATTTTTTTCGTCTTTTTCTTCTTTTCTTAATGTTTTTTCCTCATTTCCATTCCCTTTGCTTTTTTAAGGACTTTACAGTCCAATAACCTGTAGTCTTAATCTCTGTGAGGAAAATCGCAACTTCCTTCTCTTCTTCCGTTCCCTGCTGGCCGATTAACTATGAAGTGTTAGATATTAAGTTGTGAGGGCATTAATATATTTCTTTGCTGATTTAAACCAGCTCACTGGAGCCTCGAATACCAGTGCTGAAATGATTTACAGAGGAACAAGAAGCCTAATTTCCTCTGAGGTGCAGATTTCCCTCTTCCCCCTTAAACATTTGAGATCAGAGCATCTCCACAGCTTTCTTTCATTCGAGTTATCTACGACTGAATTGTGCAGCTTTCTCCCTGCTGCTGCCTAGTTACTGGAGCTCTTCATTAGTTTGCCTTGTGAGCAAGACTCCAGGCTTTTGTTTTATCCTCTTTGTGATTCTCTGCTCATTACACGCCTCTGACAGGAGTTTCTTTAAGTGTCTCATATCCTTTTTCTCTTCTTGTTTTGTTAGTATCATCCAGAGTTCTGAAAGGATTAGCAAGTCTTCCTTTATCAGTCTGTTTATTTCTGTTTTACTCTGTAGATAACCATGAATTCATCAGTATTTAACATATATTTTGTCTGGTCGTGAAGAATGCTGAATGATTAATGATAAATGTACAAGTTGCTTCATATTTAATGCTGCACACCAGCTGTTCAATTATTTTGCTACATCTCTGCATTTTTGTTTTCTGGATTCTTTGCACGCCAGACTGCTTGGGAAGTTTTGTAAAGTTTTGTTACGTTTTGTTTTGTAAGCCTGAATTCCTTCTGAGAAACAGAGTTTGTACCTTTGTGAGGAAGGGGAAGGTAAAGCAGCGCCTAAATCTCATGAATAAATTTAAATTAAAAAGCTGCACATTTCTGCTTTAGGCTGGCAGGGAAAAGGAACGTCTGAGGATTTTAATTTTCTGCTCATGATTTTGGTATGTGAAGGAGGGAAAAATATTCTTATGAATTGCATTGTTTGAGTACCTTAAAATGACATTTGTTGTCAACTGGTTCAAATTTCAGCAGCCGAGAAGGTTTTCATTGAGAAAATAATAAAATGCTTGAGAGGTTTCAGTGGTGGCACTGATGCAAATCTGTTCTGCTGACTCTACTTCCTGCATCAAATTGGGGTTCTGACCATGTTGTCGCTCACTCTGTCACCAGTTAGCATTCACAGCTGACGCACGCGCCTCGGTTGCAGCTGCCATTATGACGCCCTACGGGGGGGCCTGAAACGCCCAAAGAAACCAGAATCTGATTGTGCGTGATGCAGCTTTATTACATGTTTAAAGTTTAATCTTAAAGAGGCTAACATGAAGTGACGGTAAACTGGAAATGTAAGGTTTGTGGGTGAAATTCTGATCTTGTCCTCAGATAAATACACCTAGCCAAAGTTTTCAAACAGCTCAACTTTACGACATTTTGTCTCATTACAAACACAACTTTCAATGTGATAGTTTTAAAACATTTCCACAAAAAAAGTTAGAAACATAGCCTCCATTTGCATTAATAGTGCCCATCCTTTAAAGGGG